ATTTGCTTCAAAAACATACAAATTGAAAATAACAGTCTGCATGTTTCAAGTGCTCAAAAATGAGAACCCGTTTTCAAGACAAGGGGTTCTTTTAAGAAGTTAAATTGGGGAGACAAAATTTTTGATAATGTTGCGAGTAAAAAAATACTTTTATAAAACCAACTTAAACCTTTTTAATGGAATACTATTAAAAATCTGAATTTTTCAGTGCAGAGTTTTGTTTTACTTCGATTTGAAATAAAGTCCTCGTAGGAATTCAAAAATTGCTGAATTATTGCAACTGTTAAGAGATTTTATCAACAACTGATACTTACAGCTTTTTTCGCAAAAATTGCACCACTTTCGCCATTTTTCTAATTATAGCTTAAGCAATCGTAATAAAAGAACCTTACAGATTGCATATAAACTTTAGAAATGAGCTTTTCTCGGTTTAACAATGTCTTGTTATACTGTAACAATGAAAGTGTTCTTTTAATTTATACTATTGTTTAATTGAGACTATTTCAACAATGGCATTTTAATAAGACTACTTTTTTTTAAAAAAATTTATAATACATTATTTAAATAAATAACCCTGTTTAAAATTGAACTGATTTATGCACTTTGAAACCATTAATGCCGAGATTTTCACACAATTCCGTAGGCGCACAAAAAATTTTTAAAAATTTTGACTTATGTTTTTCTTTAAGAAGTGATGATATAGATTCTAACTCAGATAGTAGAAATGTAATTTGTGTTTCTGTTTAAAGGCGATCTATTTCTTACATGTAGAAAATCCTTGCAAATAAACTTAATTTTAAAAAAAATATGCAAAAAATTGCATATTTTGCTTTGATTGTCGGGACATATTACTGAAAATATTTATTTGGGAAAAAAATTGCAACGAATCCCAAAAGTTTTGAAATATGCACGACAACCAATACAATGGGAAGAATTATTATTTCCAAGCAATTTCTTTTAAGTTAATAGTCTGCTAATGACATTTTATTGAATTCCAGTAAATAGATATCTAAGGTTGTACATTGACAATACTAAACACAGATAGAACAGTAAGGACTATTCCTATTGTATACAATCATATTAGAAGTTAAAGGATGAAGGTATTAAATGACATTTTACTGAATTCCAGCAAACGGATATCTAAGTTTATACATTGACAATACAAAATACAGATAGAACCTTAAGGACTATTCCTATTGTACACAATCATATTAGAAGTTAAAGGATGAAGGTATTAAATGACATTTTACTGAATTCCAGCAAATGGATATCTAAGTTTATACATTGACAATACTAAATACAGATAGAACCTTAAGGACTATTCCTATTGTACACAATTATATTAGAAGTTAAAGGATGAAGGTATTAAATGACATTTTAGTGAATTCTTGGAATATAATCTTTATTACAAAAGAAAAAAAATTGAACCTTAAGAATCATTTCCATGTTAGAAATTAAAGGATGAAGATTCTAAATTACATTATAGAGAATTTTAGTAAAAGCGGCTTTCAAGTTTATAGTTCACGAGAGAAAATAAAGATGGTATAGTTTGTCTACGGTAAGAACTCCCCCCGCAACAAAATCAGAGGCAGTCTGATGCTATGGAAACAAGAATTGTGCATATCAGGGAGGGTAGCTTTTCATCATCAAAGGCTAACACAATTGTCCGAAGAAAATTATTATCTTTCTCTCGTTAACCTGAACTAAAACCAGTCCTAAACATTGACCCCATACCCCTACCTGAAATATTTTTACCTCGTTACCATAGTCACAGTCATCGGTGCAGACAAATGGCTAGGGGAGTTCTTACTTTAGAGAAACTATACATTCGAAGTTAATAGAGGAAAATTCTAAAAAAATCAAGCAAATGGGCTTTTTACTTTAGATATTGAAAATTGAAGATAAAGATAAGCTAAGTGTCAAAATTTATAAATCTTTTTCATTCATTTAAACTGTTTTCGTCAAAGCGTGTGCACTCCTGGCATTTTATTTTGCCTGTTGCCAAAGGAGACTTTTAAAGTTACCCACTAAGTTAAAGTTGCACTTAAAACTTCCTACTTCGCCAAGAATAATCAAAGGTTATCACTTAGTACCTTCAACCACTGAGATCTTCGAAATTAAGTTATTTCTGGGGAAAAAAATCTTACTTTTTTCAAAGCAATGCTGAATTTTCCTTCACATATTTTAGGATACAAACGAAAATAAACTAGTCCGTAGTAGAAAGTTTATTTTTCTACAAAAATACAGTTTTATACATTGCAAAACTATTGCAGCAGGCATTAACAGAACAAGTATACAAAAAGAGAATAGTTTCCTTAGAAAACAGACATTTACAAGTCATATGTTTTGCAACGACACTATAAGTATAAAAAAAACTAAGCTTTCCATGAATACCCCCCTTTTAATCAGAAAATTCTACTGCAAAAATTTAAAAATATAATTTAGTTAAAGTATAATTACTCATTGCCAATGAAGGTTAAAATTTAACAGCATGAAATGGTTAAAAATTATACATAAAATAATGCCAACTTGTAATGATCATTTTCTGCTCCGCGGTTTTATAGGGATTCTAATTTCCGCAGTAATTAAAAAAATCAACATAAATTATTTAAGTAATATATCATAAGCTAATATTTTTTTGAACAATATCTTCTAATTTAATTAAATGAAGAATATAAATAAGTGTTTATAAAATTTTTGAAAAGTTTTAAATTCAGTTTCCATGAAAAGTAAACAACTCTGTCCATACAAAATATTGTAAGGAATTATCAGCAAAATGCAAAGATTTGAAATTAAGATGGTCATTCACAAACTGAAAGAGACATTAGGAAAAAATAGGCTTTTAAAGTACGGCAGAAATTTCCATAATATTCCCAATCTTTGCTTAAATCAACAGTTGGAACTACAATCGGTAGCAATTACGAAAAATCAAAAGCAGTAAGCATTCTTGTACATACATTAAAAAGGTTTCATATTACATCATTTATTATTTGCTATTTAATGGATTTGCATTTAATATTAAATGTGAGGAGATGATTTATTTCAATCACATGCAATACCATGAATCTTTACAATGAAAAGTTAAAAAAGATGGAGCTGTGACATTGATTCCAACAGTACTTTTTAACCTCTAAATGTATTGATATTTTACATAATATTAACCAAGATTCACTCGTAGAACAAGATTCTGAAGAGACTTTTTTTTGCTTAAAATTAGCTGCATTTCATTGGTTTTCGAATCAAACAATCTAAACTTTACAGTATCCCAATAACTATATGAATAGTATCAAAATAAAAGAAGACTAACATTCTAAGGGACGAATTTTCACGAACTAGAAATCAATCTTTATGATTCTCAAGCCTAATCTTAAGCAGTTAACTAGTTAGAGCAGACGATATATTAATTTACGAAGCAAGACAAAAAAACTTTTTTTTTTAAATAATAAACCAATCAAATAGTTTAGGCAAGAGAGCGGGAAAAATGCTGCGCCCCTTAAATTAATTTTCATTTCAAACAAGTCATATTTTTTAGATTTTATTTTTTCAAGAGCTATTAGAACAACATTTTGGAATTCATCATTTAAAACAACACAGATAAAATGGGTATAAAAATTTCTATACCTCAGAACTGAATTTTTTTCGATTATTAGTAAATTAAATAATAGAAATAATAAATATTTAAAAAAAAAATTTTCACACATAATTTACACTGTTCTACAATTATATTAAACACTTTTTTTTAAATTTATCTCATTAAAAATGAGGACATATGCAAAAAGAGAAATTATCGTTAAGACTGAATTTTACAGATTGCGTCTACTCTTCGTATTTTGAGAGTCAAGAACTGAAATCCGTCGAAAGAAGGTAAGTTTATTCAAAAAGTGTATATGTTTGAGTTTGATTTTGTAACTTGAAACAGGAACAAGCATCCTAAAATCGGGAGAAATAAAGGAAACTTCCGGTGTATCCCTCCGCTTATATTACGTTTGCTAGGCGGCGATGAGTGAACAGGCTTGATATTCTAGGAAGATAAAACTATTGTGATTAGTGTTTAAATTTACGCGAAGTTTTACTATTCACAAGAGTTTTCTGTAATTTATAAATCGGAAATAAATAATCTAGAATTTTTATGAAGCATGTTAACCCCTAGCCATCCATAGAATAGGTTAACCATTCATAGAATATTTTGATACATTTAAGGTTAGGTTCTCCAATTATTAAGATTGACGTAAAAACGAACCATTAGATCAAAAATTATTAAGTTGTATGTATTTTTGTTTTGCATAATCCCGCAGGCCGAAGAATCTCCTTTTATTAAATGGGGACTGGTGTACGTTAGGGTTACAAAGTTCTCCAAGTTCCCATAACAAATCAATACGTTTAGGGGCACTGAATTGCAGATGGATCGCTCTCTGGTTCATGTAAAATCTACGATCTGTGGATGAATGAATGGAGAATGATTGGTCATCCCTTTAAAGCGAGATGTGAAATGTGTCTGTGTGACTAAAGTTATAATTTTGGCCATTAATAGCACCACTGAAAAAACAAAAAAAGCACCCTCTGCTTTAAAAATTCGCATAATTTCAAGCCGATTAGCTAAGTGGAAATTTGCATAAGAAACAACAGCAGCAACTTTCCATATTTAAGATTGATTTTTCCTGATTATTTTAAACTTTATAAGCAGATGCACACAAAAAATCATCATTAAATTCAATATTTTTTAATTTTTCCCACAACCTGTCTAGAGCGTAAACTGCTTCTATAAAATAACGAGACAAGTTGGCAAACTTCCGCTGTCACATTTCAGAGCTGTGAAAGCGATCTAAATTCTATGACTTTTTTATTATTATACTATCAATTTTTTTAAAAAAGTTTCTTATCGATGTCAAATTGAGACTTTGAAACTTTTAAGTCACAATGATGAATATTTAAAAATTTAAATACGTCTGCGATATTTAAGAGATAGTTTAATCTTTAACATGTTGTATTCCAGATGTTAATGGTTACATAACCAGGTGTTCTGCGATTTGAATTCTGCGATTGGTTCTGATAAATAGGGGCTGCAGTGGTTTTGGAATTTTAGTTTTATCTGTGTAAGGAAAAACTGATTTCAACAAAATGAAATACATAGCAGCTTTGATTTTTGTGGTTTTCGCTGTAAGTAAAGCTAACTATATGATTATTCTTTTTCAAATTTCAGCTTTACTAATAGTAGTTATTTGAGTCGATGAATATTTTGTAATTGTAATTATTTAATATACATTTTTGTCTAATAAATTAGGATATTTTGATTAATCAATTTTATATGCATACATATTTAATATATATGTTATATTTTCGATATTAATTTAAATTTTATTTATTAATTTAAATTTTTGAATTTTTTTTCAAATTCAATTTTTTTCTAAAACTTTGATTATTTATTCAGTTTTTATCTTTCTTTCAAAATTAGGATTTATAAATAGGAAATAGTAGAATCAAAATATGCATTTTCCTTAAGTTTAAGCGAAAGTACAGCAATAAAATGCGTTTATAGTTTTCAATTTTTGAATGTCAATTCAAATGTGCAAAATTCATAAAATTTTTAACTTTTCTTACAGTTTTTTAGTTTGCAATTACACTTGTTTTGTTTGTTAAATATACTACTTTCTCATATGACAAAGCATTGTGTATTAAAATATAGTTAGTAGAATTGCAGAAGTTTTAAATTATTTTTTTCTTCAGGTAGGGGAGAAATTTTAGAAACGTTTTTGTTTGTATATCAGAAATTTTACTTATATTTTTTTCTTTAAACAAAAAGCTTAGTGGAATGATATATTTTATGAGATATATGAGATTTCCTGTGATAAAAATGAATATGATGTGAATATATATGAGATTTTCTAAGAGAGCTTTTATTTAGTCTTATTGAAATTTTCAACATTCTTTTATTTCTTTCTTAGTTTTGAAGTCAAGATCATAAATTCTGTCTTCTCTTAAGACACGAGGTTTAGGCAATGACAAAAAAGGAGATCGCTTTTCTGTCATTTTTAACATAACATTCTGTCTTTCTGTCATAACATCGATGTTTACTTAAAATTATGTTTGGAAGAAGAAAAAAAACTTACGAATGCGATAAAATGAAAAAAAAAAACAATTAACTCAATTAAATTAAATTTGGTTTTGCTAATTGTTTTTAATTATTGTTAAAAAAGTATAAATTTTTTGAAGTTGTTGACTTTTGAATTATTTAACAGTAAATAAAATAGCATTCACAAAACATAAAACAGTTTCACTTAGCTCAAAATAGAGCTTGTATAGGTATGAATAGAAAATAGTATAGGTAAAACACAGTACGGGTATAAATAGAAAATAGTATAGGTAAAACACAGTATAGGTGTGAATAGAACAATGGCTTTTCAATACTCGTTTGGATTGCATAAAATACTTAACCACTTTCAACAAACTGGCTAACAATCAAATGTACTGATCATAAACCGGAGCCGTGAAGTCGGTTGTTAATACTTTCGACTCAAAATTCCAGACTTCTCTGAAAGCTCGACTTCAAAATTTTCTCCGAAACTTCGGGAAATATTATTTCTAGTTAAATATTAATTTAAATTTATATAAGCATGACTAGTGTTAAAGGTATTTTATTCATATAAGTACATTTCATATCGTAACAGTTGATGAAATAGATTTTACATAGCACGTTTGCATTATAAGAAAAGAGGTAGAAATCAATATATGACACACACCTCCGCAAATTCGGGTACATCTTATTAGAAAAAGATTTTTTAAGAAATATTTTGGAACTAGAAAACTATTACAAATGATGTATAGAATTCATTTAAATAAAAATTTCAAGTGAGATAAATAATTTTGATTTGGAATTTATTATTATTATGAAACTATTATTATTACTTTTCAATAGCGTGATCATATATAGGCTCAAAAACATTCAGATGTGATAAATTAAATATTTGATACTGTGAAAACTGTGGTTTATTATCTTTTCACATATAATATTAAACAACATCAAAAATTGCATGAAGGAACACTTTATTCCGGGTTAACACCAAATCGACCCATATACGATTGAAAGGGGGAAATTTGAATAAAAACACCTAAAATTGAGAAATCTCACACCTAACTCTCACGTTTTTACAATATGCGAGAATACACGAAGACACCAATGTTGGCGCTCATTGAATATTAAGAAACGGCAGTAGAATATTGCGAGTAGTTTGGTTACAATCTGGAATGAGGTGGCCTGAATTTGTTGTTGTTCTCAACGATAATATTGTGTAATAAGGATAATTATTATTTGATTTTTAAATCTCTGAAAACAGTATTAAGGGACTTTATAATGTATACTTTTTATCCGCGTCCGTATTGTTAAGCCTAGTTCGAATTCGTATTAGTTTTTTCTGTGATACGCATAAGCTTGATTTACATACTAATTTTATTTTAAGAATTTGTGCATATATGCTTCCAAACTTATGATTCGTACTTTAAATTGTATTATAAAATAACACTATTGAATCCTACTGTATTTATAAATTTTAAGTAATTGAACAACAAAATTGCTGACGGCTATTTTATATATAATACAATTTCTCTCCGCTTCCGTTTTGTTAAGCCTAGTTCGAATTCGTATTAGTTTTTTCGCTGTGATACGCATAAGCTTGATTTACATACTAATTTTATTTTAAGAATTTGTGTCTATATACATTCTAAACTTATGATTCGTACTTTATATTGATTCGTACTTACATTAATTATAAAAATATTATCTATTGAATCTTACTGTATTTATAAATTTTAAAGTTATTGAACAACAAAATTGTTGACGGTTATTTTTACATCAAGTTGTGCAAAAGATTATTGGTGTAAGTGGTTGACAAAATTTTTGGTGTGGAGTACACTAAACTTTTTTATAAAGTGTAAGTTATGATTTAAATATTTGTTACAATATAAATTTGAGCAATGCTTTTGTTTGCATACTTATAAATATGTGCCTGAATAATCTTCATAAGATCAAACTTTTTATTCTTATTTCATAAAGACCTAACTTCTCTAATGGTTTAAAGTTCTCACTTTAAGCCATCAGGAGTTGGAGTTGAAAAAGTTTTTCCTACACCGATTTCATTAAAAACATTTTTCGACTCTAACTCTTCAACTCCGATTCCACAACCTTGCAACAGACACTGAACTACAATATTTATAAGTGATATTTTGCCTTGATATCAATTACAGGTGGAGATAGCTGTTGGTGTTGAATACTGTGGTGAGTTGCCTGGTTGCGGAGAAGGCGAATGCTGCAAAGGATCATTCTACCACAGGGTTTGCATACGTCTGTCTAAAGAAGGTTAGTACAGTAGAGTGTCATTTATCCAGATGCCAATTAACCGAATGAATCAAGTATCCTGTATTTGTTCCGGTTTCTCAGAATAAAAAAATCTTTTTATTCTGTAAATACCGAGATACATGAAATGCGCTTGTTCCGGTTTCTCAGAATTAAAAAAATCGTTTTATTCTGTAAATACCGAAATGAACTTTTGCTTGTAATTAGAGAGTCAGAATAAATGTAACAAAGAGACACCGGTGTCCCATCTGCGTCGAAGGAATAAACGAACTTTAAACCGAAACAGTTGATTGACTTGTACCTGAAAGTTGAGATAAAAATTTCAAGGGCCCCGCTTGAATTGCAAATTTTAATTTTTAAATTTAATTGCAAATTTTAATTTTTTTTAATTTTTAATTATCGATTTTTTTTCTTTTATGAGTTTATTCCTTGTATGGAAATTTACAAATATTATTTTAGTTTTATTATATAAATGAAATTGAAAAGAAGACAGTAGTTCCTACATATTTTAAGGGGCCTTAGTAAAAAGAAAAACTTTATTACATTCAAAAGTGTTGGTTCAGAAAATAAGATTTATTTAAACGACTTTAAACGGCAATTTAAGTACGGCCCTTAAACGCAGAATTCTACATTACTAAGAATCCTTAATGATGTCTACATTAAATGAAACAGTATAATATTCGTGGGATAAACCGTCAAAAAATAAAAGGTTAGGAATAAAACTATGAAAGAAGTAAAACTACATTTATTTTAATGGGTAGAGAATAAAGGAAGGACTTAAGAAGTTTTTTCCCTAGGGGTGCAAGGGAGATAGAATATTAAAAGAACCCCTATAAAATATTATAGATGTTTTATAAAATCAAGTTGTAAGTTTTTACGGATGAAATTTGAAAAGAGAAACCATATTTATCTCAATAATATATGCCTACATTTATTCAATAATAGAAAGCAATAACAGAATGAAATAAAACATTAAAAGGGTCGCAAAGTCTACTGGTGCTTTTCATCTTGAACTACTCTATATCTATCAGTTTCATTTATTCATTTTCTCAAGTGATTCATTTTCCTAGGTGTACGACAGAAATAAAATATTAAAAATGCTTCAAAAGTCTAGTGCCGATCTTGCAACTGAACTGCTCTATATCAATCAGTTAGATTTATTCATTTTCTTAGATGATTCATTTTCCTAGGGGCATTAGCACCATAGAAATATAACATTAAAAGGGTCGCAAAGTCTAGTGACTCTTGACTTTCTCTAAATCTATCAGTTGCATTTATTCATTTTTTAAGGGATTCATTTTCCTAGGCGCATCATAGAAATAAAATATTAAAAGACAGCAAAGTCTAGTGCCGATCTTGCAACTGAAATGTTCTAAATATATCATTTGCATTTATTATTTTTCTGAGAGTTATAAAAATTCATAAATTTTAATATAATTTTTTTAGTAATAAGCTACACACATTCATTTTTAATATTATTTTAATTCCATTCTTAAATATTCAGGTGAACCATGTGAACGACCAAACAGCGGCGAAAATTACAGCGTGGCTTGTCCTTGCGAAGATGGCATGATCTGCAGCGTAAGTTGAAATTAATTATTTAAAAGAAATATTTAATTGTAAGCTTTAACTTACAGTACTAACATATTACAAAAACTTCAGTGCAGAATGAAATTTGAAATATTTTTTGAATAATTGAATAAATTAACCGAATAAACTATTAACTGAACTTTTTAAATTTAATTTTAGTTTTTAAAATTGTTCAAAGTTAAATCTAAGATTTATTTAAGAATTTCAATTATTCAATTTATATTACATAATTGGTTTCTTCGTTACTTTAGAAAAATGCTTATTTATATTTAATCTTGTAGGTTATTAACAGATGTCAGAGACTCGACAAATAAGAACAGGTAAGGATATTTTTACAACATATATTTCTAACTTAATTCCAACTTTCTACGACAAACCTATTTATGTAAATTCGAATTCAAAAGAATTTTTATAATTGTAAAAAAATTATTTTTCAGAGAAGTTCTAAGCATTGAAATTACAGAAAAGGAAGCAACATGTTAAAGTGTATATCTACAGTATTATTCAATGTTCAATAAAAATAAATAAGAAATGAACAGTTTTTTTTTATTTAGTCTAATCAAAACAAAACATATTAGTGAATGTTTGTGTGTCTGTGTGCCTCTCTGAAACTTCAGATCCGTTTGTGCTAGGGTCCTGCCTGACACTTGCACAGCGGATGTAGGACAAAACTTTTGCCACTGGTCATTAAATTAATATTATTTTGGAATCATTTTGGAGGGGTGCGTGAATTTTCGACAGATGATCAGCATTAAGCTTTGCAATTTAATTGTATTCTAGTGTTTTCTAAAGTGGAGTCTACGTATCCCATAATGGGGCAATTGGTAAACAGAATGCCCGGAGTCCAAGTTAATCCTATGTTGAAGTTATCGTCTATTCGTGTTGTCTATGTCTGTTGTCTGAAAAGTTTATCGTTCGAATAAAAAAAATATAGATTTTCTGATTTAAAAAAATGGTTTCCCAACTTGCATGATATGGCTAATGTTCGATGATTTATCTAATATTTCAAACTGCAATATCAAGTTCCAGCAGAACTGTAAAAGGGAGTGTGACTCAAAATTTTATTGAATATGAGTTACTTTTATTCATAAAATATTAGTCGTTTAGCCACTAGGTCATTAGACCAAGTGCTCTCCAATATTTATCCATTCAATTAGAGCAGGGTTTCTTAACCTGTGGTTCATGAACCCCTAAGGGGTCCATGAGTTAGTTTTTGGGGGTCCGCTGACTACTCCTAATTTTTAAAATGTTTGGAAGCCTACCCATTGCTTCTAAAGCGAGCTGTGGCAGCTATAATTCCATTTGCTACAATGTATCTTTGCGAAGTGGAATTTACCACACTTGTGACAATACAAACATAACATCGAAATCGATTGAATGTTGAACATGATATGCACGTTGCTTTGTCGAAAATATCCTCCAATTCAATTTATTAATTAAGGAAAAGCAGCAGCAACCTTCACATTAAAAATTTTGTATACTATTAAAATAATAAAATTAAATGTTTTCTAATAATTGATGTTTTTTGCAATTATTTTTTTACAGGGGGGTGGTCCGTGACTTCTTGAAATTTTTTAAAAGGGGTCCATTATATCAAAAAGGTTAAGAAACACTGAATTAGAGAAAGCAGATAGTGCACGACACTTATCCTAACGCAAAGCAGTCTTATTCTGATGAGTCATACAAAGCAAAAATGTAAGCGAATCAACAATGTTTAAATGAAAAAGATGGGCTAGACAATCGTGTCCCCACAGGAGTCTAATCAAGTCAATCTCACTGCCATTTGTACATGTGATTGTACGTCAATGCGATTTGCTCCTGCGCGAGCAGATCTGCTTATAGTCGCAATTGCAGTCACGCGAGGTGAGTCAGGAGTAAGCTGTGATTTTATACAACTTATATTAATAATTGCTTTCTAAATGTTGTAACCAATGGTTTCAACATTTATTCGCGAAATAAAATGTTGTTCGTTTTCTGATAATAAACTAAACGATACAAAACTAAATGAAAATGTGAGAAAAAGAAACTAAAGAACTAGATTTTTCAAGTTTCCTAAAAAAAAGAGAAAAATATTTAATTTTCATCACGTCTATAAGGAAAAGAGCAATTTTCTTCATTATATTCGACCATCTCCGAAATTTTTCACCATGTCATTTGAAAGTGATGCGTCCAGCGTTTTTTGATTAAGTTGTGATGTAAAAAAATTTTTTTTTTACTTCTCTTTTAGACAAATTGAAACAGATAGTTTTATTATATTTATAATTTAAATCAGATAAAGGAATTAAAAAAAACATGAGAATTATTACGCAATAAATCGTTTATTGAAACATTATGAGTTATTGCAATAAAAAATGCACCAAAAACAATTTAGAATGTTATTTCAATCATCGTTAGCCTATTCTTTTTCATTATCATTTATCAAAAGTTATAGAATTTTGAGTCCTCAGTGAGTCTTCAATTATTATCTCAAGCTTGTGTTATCATTACAAGCTTTTTTTAATTTCTCACCAGCGCAGCAACCACCCAAGCAACTGCTCCAATGTATCCATTTCATCAACTGTCCCATACTTATAAGTATCCTTGCTCTCTGCAACAAGAGAACTATCAAAAGTTTCATTTTTGGGAGCATCTTTGGACTCTTTGTATTCGATTTCCATCTTTTGTTCTGATAGAACATCATTCCAAGCTCTTAACTTAAATTTGGCATCGGTTACCATATAAAACTCGTTAAGAGTTAAATCATCCAAAGTCTTCTTTGACTCTATATTTCCTTTATCACCACCAACCATAGACTCATCATTACGAGTCTTAGACTCTCCAGTCTCACTTTCCAATGCCATTTGTTCTTTAAGAACTTCAGGCCAAGCTCTTATTTCAAAATAATTCTCATCCATACTCTCCCCCTTCTTAAAAACTTTTGCACTAAAATTGGAAAAATATTTTAGTTCTCTTTTAAGCACCGTATGTACCACAACATGTTTCAAATAAGTTAATATAATATAACTGGGGTTATTTTAGGAGAAATTTGTGTTTCTTAAAGTAAAACATTCACAAATTTTTTTCGTGAAAAGAAACCTTTCATAAAATATTTTATTTTATCGTAAATAATGACCAGTCGCAAAAAATTTTATTATAAATACGAAACCTTCACAGAACATTTTACAGTTAAAACAAACACTTTATAGTAAAAACGAAAACTTCATATAAAATGTTATCATACATATGGACTTTTCTTTTAGTAAACGAAGTCAATGATTTCTTTAGTTCGTATTTTTAAAACTAGAAATTCTGGAAATATATGGTTTTTGTGCTTTTTGATGAAAATAGGAACTTATTTTCATATATTCAGAAAGACACGGCTGAGAGAAAATGAACCAGTTTCCTCAGTACTACAACAGATTCGTAGCTTTTGTTATTTTACTAAAGAGATTTTGTTTCTTCAAAATGTTCCCCATAAAGGAACTTTTGTAATGAGTCAGGTATATTCTTATAACCTTAAATAATTTAATCGTTTTCACCTTTACAAATACCATTACCAAAAAATAAATACTACACAAATCTTTTTCTAATGGGCCTTTAAAATTGCTTATTTTAGTAAAATTAAAAGGCTTTTCAATTTTGTTAATAGATCAGATGATTATAAAGTTGTGTTCAAAATTAACTATAATACGTAGATAGTATGTAGTAACTTAAAATTTGACAATTATGTAAAAAACACTCTTGAGTTTCAATTAAGACACTATAATATTCCTCTGTAATAAATATTTTAAATCATAATTACTGAATTTAAAAGAAATACCGAGCAAAATCGCTCTCTCTAACAATTAACAATTTAGTCTAGTTAAAGTGACATATAACAGTCGATAGTGAAAGTGCTCAAAAATGGGCGCCCATTTTCAAGACTTGAGAGAGGACATTCTTCTAGTAAATTTTTGCGAATGTTACGAGTGAAAAAAATGTTCTTATAAAATCAACTTAAACCTCTTTAATAGAATACAATTAGAACTCTGAATTTTTCAGGGCAGGATTTTTTTTTTACTTCGATTTGAAATAATGACCTTGAAGGAATCTTAAAAAAAATTTACTAAATTATTGAAACTGTCAAAAGATTTTACCAACAACTGATACTTACAGCTTTTTCCTCAAAAATCGCACCACTTTCGCCATTTTTCTAAATATAGCTTAAGCAATCGTAAAAAAAGAACCTTACAAATCGCTTATAAACTTTAGAAATGAGAATTTTCCTGTTTAACAATGCTTTGTTATATTCTAACAATTAGAATGCTCTTTTAATTTATACTATTGTTTGATTGAGACTATTTAAACAATGCCATTTTACTAAGATCACTTTCAATTAAAAAACAGTGTTACAATACATTGTTTAATTAAACAGGGGTGATTGTGAGCCCAACTCAAATATCTTGAAAACTTCTTGAGTAAAATCATTAATGACGCATTTCAAAAAATTAATGTCTTTATGAATTTAAATCATTGATATTTTCAAAACATGAAATTCTAACTAAATTATAGGCAGTCAAATTTAAATGTATAATCATGTTTAAGTTTACTTTTATCTCTAATCACATTTATTAATCTACCAGTAAAAGTATTTACAATTGAATGTGATGCCAAGTACAAAATCTAGTTCTAATATTTTTAAATAAAATATACAAGAATTCTTATGCATAAATGTGATCGATGATTTCTTGAAACTTCTGAAACTTGGATTTCCGTAAACTTCCGGATTACGGTTAGCTAAAAATCCGGTAATCCAGATTTTTGCCGGAGCACAATCATCTCTGATTAAATAACTCTGAACTGATTAATGCAAGTTGAAATCATTAATACCGAGTTTTTTCATACAATTTCCGTAGGAGCACACAAAAAGTTTAATAATGTTGAATTTTTTTTCTTTAAGAAACGATGATATAAATTCCAACTCAGATAGTAGAAATATAATTTTTGCTTCTATTTAAAGTCGAGATATTTCTTACATGGAAAGTATCCTTGCAAATAAAGTTAATTTTTTGAATAATATAGTTTTTTTCGGAGAGTAATATGTAAAAAAAAAATTGCATATTTTGCTTTGATTGCTGAGACATATTATTAAAAATATTAGTTTGGGCAAAAAAATTTGCAACGAATCACAGAAGTTTCGAAATATGCACAACAACGAATGCAATGGGAAAAATTATCAATTTCCAAACAATTTCCTTTAAGAGGTTAATAGTCTACTAATGACATTTTATTGAATTCTATTAAATCGATATCTAAGTTTATGAGTTGACAATACTAAACACAGATTGAATCTTAAGGACTATTTCTATCATACACAATCATATTAGAAGTTATAGAATGAAGGTATTAAATGACATTTTAGTGAATTCTAGTAAAATAGGCTTTATTATAGCTGGAAATAAAAATTGAAGCTTTAGAGTCGTTTCCATCATACACTGTCAAGTAAGAAGTTAATGGGTGAAGAATCTTGTAGCATTTTAGTGAATTCTAGTGAAATAGGCTTTATTAAAGCAGAAAATAAAAATTGGAGCTTTAGATTCATTTTCATTATACACTGTCANATGAAGATATTAAATGACATTTTAGTGAATTCTAGTAAAATAGGCTTTATTATAGCAGAAAATAAAAATTGAAGCTTTAGAGTCATTTCCATTATACACAGCCATATAAGAAGTTAAAGGATGAAGAATCTTAATGACATTTTAGTGAATTCTAGTAAATCGACATCTAAGTTTATACGTTGACAATAAAAAATAAAGATTAAACCCTGAGAATCATTCCTTTTATACTCATCCATATTAGAAGGTGATGGATTAAGGTTCTAAATGTCATTTTAGAGAATTTTAGTAAATCTGTTTTCGAATTTATACGTTGATAAGAGAAAATAAAGATGGTACTTTTATCTTTCCTTATATATACAATTACATTTAAAGTTAATGGAGGAAAATTCTAAAGAATTCTTATAAATCGGCTGAACTACATCCTCTTAACTTTATACGTTGAAAATAGCTTCCAAGTTATAAATTCTTTACATTCGTTTAAAATGTTCTCGCCATTGCATTTGCACTCCTGGCTATTTTATTTGTTGTCAAAAGAGACTTAAAGTTAATCATCAACTCTTTCTCGCCATATGCACATAAAACTTTCTTTTTCGTCAAAAATAATCAAAAACTATCATTAGTACCTTCAACCACTGATATCTTCGAAATTGAGTTATTTCTCGTGGGAAAAAAATCTTACTTTCTTTCCACAATATCATGTGGAACTTTCTTTCACTAAGCTCTTCCCATATTTTAAGATACAGAAGAAAAGAAACTATTCCGCTTTCAGAAAGTTTATTTTTCTACAAAAATACAGTTTATACATTGCACAACTATAGCAGCAGGCATTTACTGAACAAGTATACAAAAAAAGAATAGTTTCCTTAGGAAACAGACATTTACAGGTCATATGCTTTGCAATGAGATTATAAGTATAAAAAAAATGCTAATTTTTAACTAAGTTTTCCACCATTTTAATCAGAAAATTCTACTATAAAAATTTAAAAATACAATTTAGTTAATATAATTACTCATTGCCAATCAAGACTAAAACTTAACAGCATAAAATAGTTAAAAATTATACATAAAAGGATGCCAACTTGGGATGATACTTTTCTGAGCCGCGGTATTACAGGGATTGTAATTTCCGTAGTAATTTAAAAATTCAATATAAATTATTTTAATTTATCATAAATTAGTATTTTTTTGAGTAATGTAATAAACTTCTAACTTAATTACAAGATGAATATGAATAAGTGCTTATTGAATTTTTGAAAAGCTTTAAATTCAGTTTCCATAAAAAAGTAACTATGTCCACACAAAAAATTACAAGGGATTGTCACTAAACTGCAAAGATATGAAATTCAGAGGGTAATTCACAAATTGAAAGAGACACTAGGAAAAAAATATGTTTTTAGAAAACGGTAAAAATTTCTGTAATTTTCCAAATCTTTGCATAAATCAGCAATCGGAACTAGAATCAGTAGCAATTATGAAAAATCCCAAGTAGTTGGCATTCTCGTACAAACATTAAAAAGGTTTTATATTACAGTATTTAATCTTCGCTATTTAATGAATTTATATTAAATATAAGCACATGATTTATTTCAATCACATGCAATATAACGAAACTTTATAATGTCAAGTTAAAAAAAAAAAGATGGAACTAATACATTATTTCCTACAGTACGTTTTGGCCTTTAAACTTATCGATATTTTACATAATTTTAATCAAGATTTACTCGTAGAGCAAGATACTGAAAAGACCGTTTAGTCAAATATTTATCACATTCGTAAGCTATGTTTTTTTCTCCAGGAAATTTTCTTATAAAAATCTCTCTAGAAAAGCAAGTAAACAATTAAAACTAACCAATAAGGCTATAAAAATGATCGAAAAGAATTTCCTTCGCAACGCAAGTTAGAAGTTAAAAGGTAATGATTCGTGTTAGTTCAGAATACTTCCTTAATGTATCATAAATATCGACATGATGCAAACTTTAAAAACTTAACTATGACTGATGAATTATATTGCATCTGGTGTTCTATCATCATTAATACTGCATCTTCTATCATAGTCCAAGTACTTGAAACCTGCCAAGATGAGGCGCTTTTTCAACAATCTAGCCTTGCATAAAATTGTTTGGGGCCCCGGGTAGGGAACCAACGAGCTGCCGATGAGTTTGTTCCTAAACGGCTTTAAAAAGTTCACGTTTGTGGCACTAAGCTTCGATGAATGTAAAATGCAACTGTTAGGAATGACATGCCACTAAAATCTCCCAAAGCTGTAAGCAGAGGAATGGCAGAGTTGTCTGGATCAATTTTGAATCGCCATAAGATCTGGACGAGGCACTGGGCAATGTATAACAGCAGAGAAATCTAGAATAAAGAAAATATAGTTTATTGTAAAACAAATAATTCGTTACAGAAGCTTTAAATGAGAGATCAAGCAGTCTACTGCACCAATTGATTGATAAGATGAGTGATCGGTCCATAGTTCCTGAGAGATCTAATTTTTAAGAATAAGACTTTCTTGAAAATCGATTTCTCGGTTCGACCGATTTCACTAAAATTTTGCATTTTACCATGGAAAATTTGATTCTTTTAAACGGTGCAAAAAATTGCATAAAAATTTTTTTGACTAATATTAAATAAAATAATAAAAATTATAAATACTTATTAAAAAATTTATTTATTTGCATGAAATTATGTTTGAATAAATGAATTTTATAATCGTGTTCAAAAAATTTTCAATTCTCTCACAAAGTTTTCGAGATAGGTAAAATACGCAAAAATTAAAATTAACATTTAAAGGTCCAAACTTTAGACCACTCACCTGACTAAACTATTAGGACTAGATTGCGGCTATCCCCTAACTTTCGGTGGTCAGAAATTCGAATCCGCCGAAATAAAGGTATGTTTAATCAGAGAAAGAACGTTTTTGTGTCTGATTTCGTAGGCTCAAATATCGTCTGAGTTAATTAATTAACATATGTGAGATCATACTCTGGAATCATTAAGAATGAGTCCCAGAACGTGAAGATCCGATCATCATATTAAAAGCCATTAAGGGTGGTCAATTTTTTATTTTGCGCTCTGTACAGTGAGACACGTGTAAGTTGACATCTTGAGGGAAAACAATTTGATCCTCTTGCTGTTGTAGTTATATACCTGTTATTGTTGCTATATACCTGTTGTTGTTGCTATATACCTGTTGTTGTTGTTATATACCTGTTGTTGTTGTTATATACCTGTTGTTGTTGCTATATACCTGCTGTTGTTGTTATATACCTGTTGTTGTTATATACCTGTTGTTGTTATATACCTGTTGTTGTATATCTATTTAGGCAGAGGGGGAGAGATTGTTCTTGTTTTCCAGTGGTGCCATCTATGGCGAAGAATTCAACTTCTGCGACACCAAACGTCACACCCGTTTATAGGGCGGACCCATTCATACATCCACAGATCGTAATTTTGACCTGAATAAGAGAACGATCGATCTCCAATCCAGTACCCCCAGAGGTTTTGATTTGTTATGGGAACATGGAGGACTTTTGCGACTCGACAGATTTAACGTGTATCAGTCACTTTACTACACGGGCGAGTTTTCGGCCGACGGGGTTCGAACCTACGAACTCTCGGACATGAGCGCAGCGACCTACCGACCAGGCTATCCCGGCCCGATCCTCTTACTTAGACGTGGTCAGCTTAAAAAAAAATGGAATTTCTCAGTTTTTGCTAGTTTGGTGTATTATCATCAAGACAAACTTAAATGGGTGATCAACATTCTAGGATGGTCAACAGGTTTCAATAAGTTCGCAGATTTGTTCCAAATTGTTATCCGAATTTTCACTTAAAACTTCCGCTTAACTAGACGTACAATATTAGATGTCATGGTTAATTTTATGCGAATGCTAGAAATATATATATATGATTAATACAAGTTCTTACTTGCAAAAAGGCTGAGATGAGATAGATTGGCAAGAAGGTAGGAGTAAGTGGAGTATCTCCTCCCTTTATCCATGTAATGCCGTAGCCAAAAAGCAAATGTCCAGGAATGACCATTGCCATAAGAATTCTTGCTGATCGAGAGTGGATAGCTATAGAAAAGAATGCAACATGTCATTAAACGACGTACATGTGTTTCCGAAAACATTTGAATAAAATATATTTCTGAAAAACATATAAAGAATATAAAAACAATTAGTGTGAAAATTAGTTTTAGGAAGAGGATTGAGTATATTGCTTTTTTACGGCATAATTACTAGATGCTGCTGTATTGTGCTAAGGCAAACCAGAAAAAGAAAGTAAATTTTCTTTTCTCTAATTATGTGTGGATAAAAAAATAAATGATTAAGAAAAAACGAAAAGCCGAACTAAATCACTTGTCGCGAAACAGTATGTATTGAATGGGTAGAGCAAAAACTTTAATCTGAAAGATTATTTTTCAAATTAGGTTTCATTACAAGCTTGTCGTTAGAAAGAGGGTAAAAAAAATGTCAATCCTTTAATGTGATAGTACTAACTGCGTTTTAATCGTAAAATTGAGAAAATACCTATAGAAAAGTCTTATATAACTTGTTCGGATAACTTGTGCTTTCATTTAAATTATAACTTTTGCTATTTTCAGGAATATTTTTCTAGAGAAGAAGTTTGAATGAACATTGTTATTCTTTATTATAATTGGGAATTCAGATTGGTTTAAGTAGATATTTATCTGAAGACGTAACATTTAATAAGTTGCTTAAATTAAATTATATTTCATTAAATCTGTAGAGCATTGAACTAAAACATCCATTGTTTGAACAGTAATATTATGCAAATTTGCTGTATACTTTAATGAAGTGTTAAAATGAACCAAGTTTATCAGAGAATCTCTCGAAAAATGAACTGGTTTGAACTAGTTAAGGAGCTTGTTTGAACCAAAAAAACCGGGCATACTTCCTACATACATTAAAAGGCATTAAATCGAACTAAATATCTATTCAAGTTGAATCGTATGAGAATTCAAGTTTCAGAAGGACAAAATTTCACGTTAATACTGTTCATTTTTCAATATGGCACTATATTAAGGTTGCAAAAAATTAGGATAGTTGTAAATGTAGTTAAAATTAACATCTTATAAAATCACATAAGAGAGTTTGACTGTGATCACACAACTTTTGAATGGTTATGGATACTATATAATAATGCTTAGGTTTAGAATTATATATAGTTCTAAAAATAGTGCCAAGATATAACGGCATGTTCTAAAAAGTATAACACAGAGTAATCCTAAAAAGAGTCACGATGGCACTGTGATCAAGGCTCTTGAACAGTTATTGTGTATAAGACCAGGGTTCTGTTCTTGGTTGCGACTTGAAGCCTACTCAGCTTCAGATTTATGGCTACAAGCTTTATTATGAAATCAAGGCCATCACTGAGTAATGCCGACCACATTGCAGTCGGTCTCAGTTGTGCAGATTTAAACTAAGACTCCTTGAGCCAAAAACTTTGTGGAAGTTTTTTTTGAGCTATTCGATGAGATTTCAAAACTTAAATTTATAGTTAAAGATTTAGTGTTTAGTAAGCAGTTCAAGATAACAGATTATTGCCAATTGCGTTGTTGCATCTCATATCAGTCTATTTTTATGCTTCATCATTTATGTTATACAGAATGCTAGTTCTAAATTACGCAGCCAAACGGATCATCATTATCAGTTGCATTGTTATATGTCACCAATTTTTCTCGTATGGTGTTCTATGCTCGAGATAAAAAACGCTAACTCTGAATTTAACTGCTTGACTGACAGTTACAGATATTTACTCAGATCAGTAGCAGGCATCTAGTACAGTAACATATATCTAGATATTTAGATCAGTAACAGATAGATTACTAAGGCTACTTTCTTAAAACTAGATATTATTTTTATGGAAGTTGATCTCAAAATTTAAAATTTATTCAGCACGCTGAATGCCACGGGGGTCACCGGCGACCGGCACTAAGTTTGTTCGTAGCGCAACGGAGAACAAACAGAATCTCCTATCAGAAACACGTAATTCGAGTAAATTTTTAATGCTATTAACTTTTTTAATGTTATTATCGTTACTGAAATGGTTTAAAGAAATAATGCAATATAAAACACACAAAAATAGTTTTATTTACATACATATATAGCATGTAACCTTAAAGATTATACGAGCATGTTACTTGTCACATGATTGCAACGAAGAGTAACCAACCATAAGCAATAACGAATGATTACACAAATTAACTGTTTTGTTGTAAATATTATTTCATCAAAATAAGCAACGCATACTGAGAAAATCATTTTGACCAAACGGGCAAGTCATGTAAAATTAACGTGGCATTCAACGTGTTAAGTGCATACAGATTTCATTTCGCAATTTGAAAAAAGAAAAAAATAATAATCTAGTAGCAGAGAGCTACTTAATTCTACATTGGCACCATTTTTATTGTTATGGATGCTAAATTCAAGAGTCATTTGAATGTGACTAGATTTGATTTGCAGTTAATGTACTAGAAAGAAAAACCGTGAAAAGAAACTTTAAAACAAAAAGGGTAAATTTCTGATCTATATTTTCCTGAAAACCAAAATTTTCTTTCTTTGCTTACATTTTCCGAAGAAAGCGGAGAAAGGGGAAATACATATGGGTGATCCATCGGGTGGGCGTGATCCAGGCTTTTCGCTGTTTTGATGGAAATAAGTGGATATTCTACTAGCTTGAACAGCTACGAGGTTACCAGCAACACCTGTAAGAAAACTGATTTTAGACTCCGTATTTCGTCTTGCTAGTCAAAAGTCAAGCCATTGTTTAAGACTTTTCATCCTCATGACGCAAAAAACTATTGGAAGGTAAAAGGTTGATAAACACAGTTTTAGGAAAATGTTCATGAAGTAGTATATGAAAATGGTAACGGTGCATCGGTTAGTTTTTGTGTTATTTTATGATAAATTCGACATTCTTTTTTGAGTTGTACAATTATATTCAGCAAAAAACTAATATAGGAGATTAATAATTATTTTCAACTGTAGTTGTATAGTTAAAAGTGAGCACTGCGCTTTCATGCTTTTTAAATTTTGAATTAATTATGGTGTAAATAAATGATTTTGTTTCCACGATTAATCAGATATTTTGATACAAAAGAAAATTTATAAAAATTCGAACAAATTGAATTAAATTTTATAGTGACAACGTCTTCCAAAAAAAAATCTCACTTATTATAAGCCATATGAATATCATTTTGTTTAGCACTTATTTTTAGAGCTTGTTTAGATTTAGTTCAAATCGTTTTAAAAAGAAAAAAAATGATGAATACATTTTAGCTTAACGTACATTCCTAAAGTTATCATAGAAAAGCAAATCCCCCAAGATCTAGGGGAGGGGGGTAATAATTAATTTTTAAATTTTTTGCGTAAATTTAATTATGACCTAATAAATACTACTCAATTTTTAATCCTGTTTGTAATTTAAAAAATTCTTCAAAATTATCTTTTTAAGTTTTTAACAAAAATGTTTCCAACTTTTCATCTCAAATTTATTAAAAACACTTGAAAAAGTCTTAATAATTTCTAAAATTCACTTATTTCCTTGAGTAAATTAAATATGAGAACCTTCATAGTGATTTTATAAGCACGTTAAATTTATCTTAAAAATATTTCAAGGCGTTAAAGGAAAAAAAGAACATCGATTTCCTCTATCAAATGAAGTACTGTTATTTCATTTATTAATTGAAAAATTCATTCAGTTGCTTCTAGAACATTCATGATACACTAATAACGAAAGTGTTAAAAAGTTTTTGAAAAGCACGTTTGAAATATTTTTACATAGTTAAGATATATAACGTTTAATATATTATTTTCTTTCTAAAATGTACAGTTCACGAAACAAGAAATGTAGCACACAGAATAACTTTTGATCTAATGATAGAATTTTCGTGTACCAGGACTCAATTTTAATCGTTCGATGGGAGGATATCAAATATGCTAATTAACTAGTGCAAACGATATATTAAGTTATGAAATCAGACGGTAGCGTACTTTCTCTGAATACACATACCTTTTTTTCAACAGCATCGGTTTTTTTGGCCCTCAAAATACGGGAGGTAGCTGAAGTTTGGAAGTTATAGTTTCAACAGGTTGTACAGTAGTGCGTTCCAAAGTTTTGACCCCTTAATGCTAATTCAACTTTCAAATAAAAAATTTGAGCAAAATCGATCATTAATATCTTAGTTATCAAATCTTAAAAAATTTCGTATATTTTAAATTTGATTTTGCAAGAACCAACGTATTTGAGAAATTTTGTATTTTGACATATAAAATTGTATCCTTTAAAATGACAAAATTATGCCTTACGAATGAAATTTTTTTTTGACTATTATTAAATAAACTTATAAAAAATTATGAAAGTACACTTTGCATGAAATCCTCTTTGGATAAAATAATTTTATATTTATCTGCAAAAATTTTTCTCTCTGTTTAGAGAGTTCTCCACAGATGGCTAAGTACGTAGAAAGTAAAGCTAACATTAAGGAGTCTAAGCTTTCATCCGTTCCCTATAGCAAAATATTTCGGGTGAAGAGTTTTTTTTAAAAAATTACTGCTACCACCATAATAAGAGGGTCAAGAATCCAAATCCATCGGAAAAACGGTATGTTTATTCAGAGAAAGTCAGTTTCTGTGCGATTTGCAACAAAAAATATCATCCGCAACAGGTTCTCGAACCATTAAGATTAGGTACTATTATGTGAAAATCAAATCATTAGATCAAAAGTTATTCTGGGTACCCTTTTCATTTTGTGCATTTTACACAATATGAATTATATTTCATTACTAACTTTTTTTTCAGGAAATAATAAAAAAGTAAATAAAGCTACGCACTATAAAAAAATTTCAAATTATTTTTAATGTAATAAATTTTTAAAGTATTAGGAAATTATATAACAAATTCACGAGAAATCACGCCAGTATTAAACGGTTATTTGTATAAAGAACAATATTGTATTCACCATTATCACATGACGTACTCACCGTTTATGACAGGTTGAAAAATTGCTAAACCTTTGAACTCTGTGACAGAAAATTCCAAAATATATCCACCGGCACTGAAACAAGCAAAATATAATATTTATTTTCTGAAACAAGCAAAATATAATATTTATTTTCTGAAATAAGCAAAACATAATATTTATTTTCTGAAACAAGCAAAATATAATATTTATTTTCTGAAACAAGCAAAATATAATATTTATTTTCTGAAACAAACAGAACATATGTCATACACTTAAACAAATACTATATAATGTTTATACATTGTTTTATACCTAACCGTAAGAGCTGTTGTAGCAGCACCACCAAGCGTGTAGAGTGAGGAGTTTCGTCAGTGTTATACAATGCTGTTTGAGCTGAGAGCTGAGTGCTTATTGAGGAATAATAAAATAATGAATGCTCGTACAAATATGTAGAAGTGGACGGTTGCCATTTTATTTTACACTTTTCACTATGCTTTATCACTGGGTGGCATTGCTACAACAGCGCTTGCGGTAACGTACGGAACAATAAACTCCTCATTGGAATGGTAACATCCAATCATTATGACATACAATTATTTCAATTGTAGAAAGAAAACAAACAATATAAAACTAACATCAAACCCCTTATAAAATTCCAAATTGAGTTTTTACTTTAACCCGTTTGTCTTCACCAATATAAATTACATATATACAAAGTATTCACCAAAAATTCTACTCCTATTTCAGCTCCCATTTTTGAAGTTGTAGATTTTTTTTATTTCTACATTGTCTTACTCTACCAACCACTTAGATCTCTGTAGTAAATTATTCGCCCGGTGGCTGAGTGGTAGCGTTTCGCGCTCCCGTGCCACAGGTCCTCGATCCTAGGGCTGGGCAAGGTTGACTCAGCCTCACATCCCTTCAGTGGGTCGATAAATGAGTACCAAGCATGCTTGGGAACTAAACACTAGGGGTTCTGTTGTTCGGTTGACCACCTAACCGGAACACCTGCACCCCAGAGTCCAAGGTCAAGAAAACTGAGATGGGTACAGCAGGCCTTGGCCCTCAATGGGCTGTCGTGCCATTGAGTTTAGTTTAGTTTAGTAAATTATTAAGATACTATATATGCCATTTCTTCCAAAATCATTAAATTATTTTTAATTTTTTTTAAATTGGATAATCGATGATCTTTTACCTCTACAAAATTTGGCTCTACAATAGTTTGAAAGAATCTACCCATGAAGAAATTTGCCGGAGGTTATAGATCATACACACCAGCATCAGACGAGAAGGTACAAGCGGTTTGGCAATTAAGAATTCCTTCTATTTTGGTATTTTAAATTTTGTTTACTTGGAGGGTATATTGAATTACTGGTAAGGTTGGTATTATTTTATATATTCTTCTAATCTATAAATGAAGTTTGAATATTCAGTTTTTCCACAAGCAAAACTATACTGATAAAATATACCATAAATGTCCTCACTTCGAAGCGACATAAATTTCTGATTATACAGGACAAAATTTCCAAAATTAAATTACCATATAATTAATTACACCACAATCCTAAGATACTAAGTGGGTTTGTAACACATAAATATTAATTATAAAAGCAAGTGAAAAATATATGGATGATAGGGTTAAGCAAAATTTTTAAACAATTGAGCAGATAAAGTGAAAAAAAGCAATAACCATACTGCTTGATATAATCTCCGACACCAAAAGATGGTGGTAACTTAGAACAACATTAAAATTTCGCTTGCTCATGTAGGCAAACAAATCTAAATATATTTGTATGTAAAATCGAAAATAATTAAAGCTGCTTATCAAATCATGCCTTTATTCATGGATTACGAAAAATTAACGACATCGTTTTAGTGTAATAGTATCCGCCACCTAAAATCGCGCAAGCTCCCAATAGGAACTAAAAGTGTTTCAGTTAAGACCTGTTGGTACAGTGACTCCTGGTACAGTGAAATGTCGACTCCTGGTTTAAAGAAGACTAACCCATGGTATAATGGTTTACGTTAAGCATATGAGATTTAGTTATTGTCATATAAGACTATTAAATTAGAGTAACTAAATTACAGTCTTAGTGCCTGTTGGTACAATGACTCCTGGTACAGTGAAACAGTGACTCCTGGTACAGTGAAATAGCGACTCCTGGTTTAAAGAAGACTAACCCATGGTATAATAGTTTACGTTAAGCCTATGAGATTTAGTTATTGTCATATAAGACTATTAAATTAGAGTAACTAAATTACAGTCTTAGTGCCTGTTGGTACAGTGACTCCTGGTACAGTGAAATATTGACTCCTGGTTTAAAGAAGACTAACCCATGGTATAATGGTTAACGTTAAGCCTATGAGGTTTAGTTATTGTCATATAAGACTATTAAATTAGAGTAACTAAATTACAGTCTTAGACTAACTGACTGCTGTCTTATGGCATCTGCAGGCTAAAAGTGACAGCAGATAAAATATAGTTTTGAAACAATTGGTATACCTAATACATGATTGAGCCTTTGAAGTAAACAGATTTTTACTTCAAATTATTTATACAGAATATATATTTACTTTAGTTTTATATCGAAATCAGATTAAAATGAATCGTTTTAAATACAATTTATGATATAATCTAGTCCAGATGACTATTGAACTCAAACAATAAGTCGCAACTTCAAATATTTTAAGATTTCATATTTGAATAAACATTTCTGGCAATAAAATGATGATTTTGATCTAGAACTGTTTTATGATACAGCACTAAAAGTTTTACGACATCTTTGACCGACATTGAAATGTTTCAAACAAATAAACTGGAAACATCTGTCAAACACGCTTCACTCATGCAAATACCATTATATACTATGGGCAAAAGAAAATACGAATAGAGAAGCTATTCATTGATGACTGAATTTATTTTCTCTTTAGAAATGACCTTTGAACTGTGATAGATAATGTTGTTTGAAAACTGAAGACACTCTTAGGGTGATAAATGTTAAAACTTTACTATTTGCAAATTTTTGGAAATTATGGAATTCTCTTTTCAATAATTATTATTTAAGAAAACATTGATAGAAATTTATTGATATTTTATGAAAAACGCTAGTTACTGTTACCTTTTAAAATAATGAGTCTTTTTTATTTTCCTATTTAAAAAAAAAATTTAAAATAGGAAAGTAGAAAAGACTCATTATTTTAAAAGGTAATAGTAACTAGCGTTTTTCGTAAAATATCAGTTTATTAAATTAAAGTTTCTATCAATTTTTTCTTAAATAATAATTATTGAAAAGGAAATTCCATAATACTGATGCTGTAATATACATCTAGTCACAATTCTCTTCGAAATTTCAGAAGGCTGTAATAAATAAAAATAGGATAAATAGAAAAAAAAAAGCCTGACACCAAATATAGATGTAATTTTTTTATTTTTAATCCATACAGGTGTTCCGTAATGTTTGGGGGGATTGAGCACTCCAGGTTGAAATCCCAGGATTGACTGGTAGATACGAATTCTGCTCCCGGCTTGCACCGACTCGAGTACAAATAGCATAAAATAGTCCCAGTGGTAAACGGATAACGGGTTAGGTCCTAGGCTAACCATGCGAGGATTTCGTGGATTTTCTCTCAATGTAACGCTGTGATCCGCATTACGTTATGTGTTAATGTCGACGGGGTGATCGGGGTTAGAGTCCTGCACCCGGCTCGCACAGAGCTGACGTAAAATATCATTAGTGGTAGATAGATCATGGGTTCGAATCCATTTACCATCAGGCTAACCATAGAAAGTTTTCCTCTCCATGTAGTGCAAATGTGGCTTAATGCCATCAAAAAGTCCACCACGAAAACTAGTTTGCCACGATGCTTGATTAAGGAGTTCCCTAATCTTCTGGATTGGGTTCAAAATTACAAGGCTAAGGAGTTGTACATTGGTAGTCGTAAAACTCACAATCGGGTAAGCTGCGCAACCCAGATTATGAAATAAAACAGTGAAAACTTGCCTGCAAGGTACACCTTAACGTGACAGTTAAATTTCTGCAAGACTTTATTCAACATGGTACTATCAATAGCAGTAACAGCAAGCCTGATTCATTCAAGCAGTTCTGCTAAATTACGCAACAAATGTTGTAAAAACAAAGCTTTTTATCCGACTGTACAAGAAAATGCTACACAATGTTAAATCTGGTGAGTGTGGGGGCCATGTTAAAATTAGTACAGAATTCACAAGCACACATTGTTACATGTTTGTAGTTGTGGAGTTAATATATTGTTCATCTAAGTTTAAATTTAGTTCTTGAAAATAAAGTTAAATTTCTAAACGTACCTAGTAATTACCAAAGCCATGATAACTGGAATCCATCCCGTGTATAGAACTTGCCGAACGAAAGAATTTTTGAATGAGAAATATACCCACACTGGTATCAACAACATGAATATGCTTATAATTAGCGCTGGAGGGAAGAAATTATCTGAAAAATAAAATTATAAATTAATTTTGTAATTTTAATATTATATTTTTTGGTTATGTTTGACTATTATCACAACTTACCTTTGGTCTGGTACAAATAGCTGCTGATGGCAGCTAAAAAGCCCAAAGTGGTAACATCACCTAATGAAGCCGCAATCGGTGTTGCAACATTATCTGGATTTATTTTACATTTATGCGAAGCTACAACCACTATAAGGGTGATTGTACCTAAATAATCACAAATATTAATAAAATTAAAATTAAGATAATTAAATAATAGTAGTTGAAAAATATATAGTTAAATAGCAAATAGTCTAATTACAATTATTAATCATATTTATCAAAAATTATTAGAGTTTTTTTAAGTAGTACTAACAATTATTTGATAATTAAATGATAATCGAATAATAGAAATTGACATACTGAAATTTATCATGCTTTCTGCTCACAATGGTTTTATGAAGATCAACACACACAATGGCTCTTGAAGTTTTTGACTTATTTACAGCACTCTAGCAACTTTTCTTACCGAAGAGTAAGATTTAAAATTGTAAGACTAAAATTGAGTTAAAGCGAAAACGAAAATTTCGTAACTTGAAATGGGGTTATATTGAAATTGTCTTGAAATTACTTATGCAATTGTTTAAAAAAAATATGGACTATATTTGAGACGTAAAAAAATGAGAATGACGTGCGAAACTCAAGTTTAAGTTAGTGCAATGTAAAAGGATAACTAAAGCAATATTAATAAGTATTTTTTAAGTATTAAGATTAAACGGAGCAATGCCGTCATATAAGAGACACGTTATTTTTTCTTACTGAGTCCAATACCACGTATACGATTGCAAAAATCACTTTATCACTCATATTGTTATCATATTTATAATAAACTAAATTAATGTTATGGTCACAATTAACTGCATAATTGACATTATAATGTCTGTAATTGCAGTTAATGATACATTAATTATTAATCAATAATTGTTTAACTATTATATATTAAATTAATAATTTATTATTAATTTCACATTATTAAATAATTAATTTCATATTATGTCATTATATTAATGTCATTAATATTACTATGATATTAATGTCATTAATTATTTATTTAATATTAATTGCATAAAATTTATGAATATAGCACTGATGATGATATATGTTTCCAAAATTTATGAATACTGACATTTTTAAAGCGAAGTTTAATTTGTAAATATATTTTATTTTCTAAAACATCAAGAGTAAATGTAGAGTAAATGAAGAGTAAATGTTTAAAAGAAATTAATGTTAGAATTCTATTATTGAATACTCGACGTTGCAATGTAAATTTTGGAAGACAAAATAAATAAGCTGATTACTTACCCAAAACAAGACTAGCTATTACAGCTGTAAATAAAGAACTGGCGCATAGAATCAGAGCATTACTCAATATGAAACCACTTTTTGCAATACTCATGCAAGTCGCGAACGCAGCAGCTAAGAAGCCCATCACAGTTGCTTGACACTAAAAAGTAGACCTTTATAATTAGTTAAAGGTTTATACCTTGAATACATTATTATTTTATTAGATCAATAAGAAAATTTTTAAGTACGTAATATTGATAAAGCAAATGTGACTGCCAACCTTGATAATACTCTTAAATACAAAATTTCTGGAAAAAAAGTTCGGACGAGGCCATTGAATATTTAGGGTGCAACATAACATACAGTGAGTAAATTTAAAGTCACTTTTAATTTAAATTTAAATTGAATTTTATAGTGTAAATATTTTTTTAACACTAGAAAGACTGAAACTTAGTATATACCTATATTGCCCAAAAGCAGTAAAATGACTGCATTGTGAAATAATAACTAATGTGTAAAGAAATTCGTTTAAAATTAATTTTCAATATTTTTTATATTATTTACAGTTATATAACAAGTTATTAGTAAATATTAGCAATATAAAAAATTATATGTTGTACAAGAAGTCACAAAATTCTAAGAAATTGTGTCATTATATACATCATTGTTTTTCTAATTGAAATTAAGAAACAGTCAAAGGGACTTCCTCGGGCAATCCGGGGTTAAACCTATCATATATGCATACAAAACTTGGCTAGTTAAAATATTTTTAACATATAAATAGGACTTACATTATAAAGAAGTATTTTTTCATTGCAATTACTATTTGACAGAAGTTTAAAATGTAATAACATATTTCTAACAATTTAACGATAACCTCAAATACATTCATTATTAAAAAAAGAAATGTGTGATGTTAAGGACAAACAATAAGTCGTTTAACTTGCATCATGCTTAGTGATTGTTTTTAAATCGACTAATACTTGTAAGTAGGAGAACTTTAGTTGCTAAACAGTCAAAATTAAAATTAAATTGAATTTTAGTGGTAGGGGAATTTTTTAAAAGGCACATTTTAGATATGATTTAATCAATTGACATACTTCGTTTCGTAGTAAACTCCGTCTCAGAAGATCAGCATATCAGTAACACCTGTCTATCATTTTTTTTTAAGAGAATGACAATATAGCTCTTTAAAAATATGTCAAAAGCTTTTGTTTAATTTTCAACAGAATGATTAAATTATAACACTATTCTATTTTTTTTTATTAAGATTCGATTTATCATAAAAATAGAACAAACATGTCATTAATTTTATTCGAAAGTATCCTATTTCAAAAATGGTTGATGAACACTTACTAGAATGAGAGCCATATTTCCCCAAGACATGTGCCATTGATCTCTCAAAGTGTCCAGTTTTCCACAGTTTGCCTAAAAATATATCGAATATATAATTCAGTACACAATGTCGATAACTGAAAATTATAAATATGCTTTCTAAATATGGCTTTCTACATAATGCTATATTGTTTTGTAAAAAAATTTGCGCTGGTACTCAGCTGTCCCGGTCCTTGGGACAATTTTCCCTCTCTTTCCCTTTCCCCTTGAGTTCAGCCTTTGCTGAACTCAAGGGGACACACATGTAAATTACACGCGTAATTTTCTTAAATTGTCATAAAGTAAAAATGGCTGCTACTTTTTCATCGAAATTCTAGCGTTTTTAAATTTGCCGTAGAGTTAACATGTGTCTCCGGTTTTACCTCACTAGTGAGGTAAAACTGGGTGGTTTGATTTTTTCTAGAAATAAATCTTTTATGAAAAAAAAGTAATTTATCTATGACTATTCGAGATTGATATATTTTATACGACTAAACAATGAATATCTTAGTTTCTAGGTCGTATAGTTAGGTCTAATTACAGTTTCTAGGTCGTATAGTTTAGCTCAAATAGGTCTTCGAATGTTAGTAACTATTATTTTGCCGTAAAGAATTTTCTGAGTTTCGGAATGAAAAAAAAAGTTTCAATGTTATTATTTAGTTACTAACTCATTATTATAACACTATTATGATTCAAGTGTAAGACGCTTGAACAGTGCCTCTTTTTTCATTTTTTTATTTATTTTTTAAACAAATGGCTTCAAAAATCCTATTAACTATAAAAAATAATGTTCGAGCCGAAAATTGAAATAAAGGAATGAATGGAAAATGTCGAAAAAAAACTTTATTGATAGTTTTTTGTTATTGAAATATCGAAAAAAAAGCATTTTAAATAAGTCAAGAAAAATGTTTAATGTAATTTTGCATTAAATAGATATAACAAAATGCTTGTAAATTATTATTTTTTTGCAGAAATCAGTTACCTGTGTCGACACTCTTGACGCCAAAGTCATTTCTAAATTTCCTTTCAAACCCAAAAGCGTCGGTACGAGTATGAATAACTCACTCACCTCAATAAATACTTTCCATGTCTAAAAAAATAAAAATTGAATAATACAGAGCAATTGATAATACCATTACAGAAAAGAAAGTTTAGAAATCTGAATAAATTTAAAAAAAATATTTATCTTTAAACATAATCTAAAAATTCCATTGTTTAATAATTTTAATTGCTTGATTTTAAACCTGTGTGAAAAAAGGAATACTGTGACTTATCTAGATAAAAGTAATTGAAGATTGATAAAGTTTAAAAACTAATGTTAAACCTAAACTATATTAGTAGTCTTATACAAACATTTGCTTTCGATTGTTATTTCGTTGTAAACTTTAAACACAATTTACTGAAGACCGGGAATTCAATAGATATTAAATAGATTTAGAATTGTTTAGTCTAGAATTTGTGTTATGTTCTGCTGACTAATAAATACATGAAAACATTCTGAGAAAAAAAATTACAGACGTTTCATAATCCATTCAAATAGAATGGATTATTAAGAGTTTCAGTTCTTTCCATAAAAATAAAAGCGCAATAATTTTGTTGCCCCCTTATTTAACATTAGTTTAAAAATTATGCAAGTTTGATGGCATGCATTGGTTAAGAAAAACTGTTATAAGTGGTGTTTATCACTGAGGTTGAGTTACGTTATTATGACAACCCGGGAACTGTTTAATTGTAGTCATTTGAAATGTCCTCATCTTTTAGCAACTGGATATTTGAAACTCGAAAAGAAGTGAAGTGATTATGCCTAAACACGCGATTCAAGTCAGATTTAATTGGATACCTGCAAGTTACGTCACGCGATTGTTTCAAACCGGATTGGCTTCTAAATCAATAAATGCCGAGAATTACCTTACATAATGTTAGTTGCAGTTAACCAATTGTATACGTTTTAAACTATTGTGTTGAGCGCAAATCAACGTGTAGGTCAGATAAGACAGCGGTGCGCAAACTTTTTTCGACTGCGACCCCTTTTGTAGAGAGAAAATTTTTCGCGACCCCTAGAGATAAATGTTCACAAATACGATATATATTTCGCGCATTTCTTTCGTTTCATCGAAAAAAAACATCATCATATTTGACTGATATTAAATTTATTTATAATTTTAAGAAAATACTTTTTGTATAACACAAAAATCAGTAAATTGCCCTTTAATGAGATGTATGTGGCTGCAAGTTTCTAATTATCTCATCGATGTTTGGATGTATGTTGCTAATTGCAATTCGCATATCATCTTCAGGGTTTAAACGCGAGCGGTATTTAGTTTTTATTGAAACTAGTTTGCTAAATCCAGTTTCACATAAATACGTTGATGCAAATTGTATTAACACTCTGATGGCATTCTTGCATAAAACGGGATATTGTTTTTCCACGGATAGCCAAANATTTTTTTCTAATATTTGTTGTTGTTTCTAATGCCACTTGCCACACGGGCAAGCCTGCTAGGTGAAACCGAGCAAATTTAAGGCAGAGTTTGCGTTTCTTGTTTTTTCAATGGCGCCATCCTATGGCCAAGAATTCGTCTTCAGCCACACACACGTCACAGACCGTTTCATAGGGCAAACTCATTCATACATCCATTCATTCATCCACAGATCGTAATTTTGACCTGAATCAGAGAACGATCGATCTCCAATTCAGTACTCGCTGCTGTATTGATTTGTTACGGGAACATGGAGGACTTTGCAACTCGACAGATTTAATGTGCATCAGTCGCCATTTACTACACGGGAGGTCGCCATTTACTACACGGCGGGGTTCGAACTCTCGGACATGGGCCCAACGCCCTACCGACCAGGCTATCCTCTAATATTTGTAGAAAATATATATACTCGCAAAAATTGATTCCAAACTAATATTATAATACTGGTACATTGAACCATATTATAGAATGAAAACTTGCTGTAACCATAATAAGGTATCATATTAAACCGTACTTTAACGTGTTATCACAAATTAAACCATAGTATCGTGTAATCAAGGTGGTCGAATTTTTTTAAATAATATGGTTCAATTCGGCACCGAATTTAATTTCAATCAAATTTTCAGGGTGTAAGGATTCATTGACACGCGTTCTAAAATATCTAACACTGAATGCCAGAAATATTTTGAAAATAATCAAAAACCATTTTTACCTACACCATAAAACGTTTTTAAGAAAAAAGTGAATTTGGAGGGAAGAAATCAATATTTATCTCATCTTGAGAAAAATTAATTACAGAAAAAGGAGAAGTTATAGTCTCTATGGATATAAATCAATTTGATGAATCGCAATTTCTTCTAGACATGTTTTTGATAACACGCTTCATTAGCATAGACATTTTCATTTTAATATTTAATTTTATTATTCTTCGGAAAATATTACATTTTAACAATATCTTTCTTCCAAATTCATACATAAAATAATTAATATATTTATGAAGCATTCGTTTTAACTTCTTGAGCAGAAAAATGTTGTGCAATCTAGAAAAAAATTAGCGATTCTCATTATTATTAAAAATGTTATTGTTTGAAATATAAACTCACTGTTATTAAAGCACTTTTTTTTGAGTAGAGAGCATGGGGAAATACAATGATAAGCTACATTTTCAAATTGCTTTTTTAAAAGTTCATTTAGTGAAAAACTCGATTTTTATGTAGACAATAAAAGCTGTTTTTATGCATTGTCCTGCTATGTAGTGGAAATTCCCGAAATTTGTAAGGTACCTATCTGTTAATAATAATGTTACAATGAATGGCCGAAATCGGTAGTTGTTGACTTCCGGTGAATGTTGACTATCACATAGTCGCTTTGGTAAACGTCCGAAATATCTAGTTAAGTGCCACTATCCGATATATATACCGGATAATGTATACATTCATTTGCTATGCCCTACGTCATATTTTTTTAAGATTCAGTGCCACTGCCCGGTATACATTTGCTCGGTATGTCCTACACTGATGTTTTTTTAAGTTAAGTTCCATTGCCCGGAATGCATTTAACCGGTTGTCCGAACACTGATGTTTCTCCTAATCTATCCTAAGCAGATATTAAAATATCGAATAAATATAATAATATCAACGAATAAATTAATATTAAATCGGATATAACAAATATTTCAGACATTCACAAAAGCGACAATGTGATTGTTGACATTCACGGCCATATGAGGGGCGATTAAACACGTGATCTTTGTCTTCTAAATATTTAAATTTGATTGAGGTCGTTATTAAAAATTTGAATTAGCTTCAGAAATTTTGTAGCTCTTCAGCGTGTTCTATATAATATATATTTATTTACAATAAAATATAAATCTCAAATGTGTGTGATCAATTTTACAGTTTTTAACATATAGAAATACCATTACAGATTTAACCACTCACCATTTTAATCTATTTTTTAAAATTATAAATAAACTTTTGTATCACACAATCATTCGGTATTTATATTTATATATATTAATATAAAAAACATTTGTCATAAATACATGCATTTAATAATTTTACTCGTTAGCTGGTAAGCTTAAAATTGTCTGTGATGGGGCTAGTTAATTTTTAAAGTAGTTAACACTATTTAAATATCTTAAGAATTCACCCAAGGAAAATAATTACGAGTAAGACACAAAAAAAATTCCGTGTTTTGTTTGTTTGTTTTTTCTGCTCGTAAGCACGTTTTGAGTTGAGTTTGTTAATATTTATTCAGAGGGTCATTTGTAAACGCCGTTTTTTCTAGAAAACAAGTATTATGTAGTATGCATTTGCCTTGAAAGGAAATTAGAACAGCGAAGACAATGACAAATAAATTTCGTAATAATTTTGTAAAAAATGTAAAAGCAATAAAAGACTATAAAACAAGCAATAAATAACGAAATAAGTTGTTCTAGAACATTTTTTTCTGTTCCACATTTTTGCTTTCTAATTTTGAGGAAAGATTGATACTGTCTTTAAGCACACATGGATAAAATTTCTAGCAGCGTTTTTTCCCTAAATAGTTAATTTCATGCGAGAACAATAACAATTGCTGGTAAAGAAATGAGATATGGTTTTCGGTTTTTTGAGATTTGTGTTATATGTGGATTGATATGAATATGAGGTCACAGTATCTATAAATGAATAAAATATTGGAAATTAATTTAATGCCTACAGTATAACTAGAAAACAATTTCAAATATGACAAATATTTTATTGGTCCATCTGAATTATTTAAAACAATATGAGTCATTTTAAGAATAAACTCATTCATCTTTTCAAGAAAAAAAAAGCACTGACTTGAAAATAGTTTCTCATATTTGATTTGTTGTGTTTGCTTATAATTTGAGCTTAAATTGCTCTATTCTAATTTGGAATTTTTTTTGAAGTCGGTTTAATGGATTCGATAAAAATGAATTATATTAAATCGTTCCTAATTGTCAGTGCATTCTTATTAACCTATAAATAAGCTCGTACGATAAAAGATTAATATTTGTTTGATTGTCCCCAGCGTAAAATTAATAAAAGTGTTTTTTTTTTTACCTGTAAAATATGTCCCTGTCCCTCATTTAACGGTAATTTTTAAAAATTTATCTTTTCATAGAAGTGTTTTTTGTTCTTACGTTTTCGATTTTGAATATTTTTCGAAATTAAAGTTTTGAATCTATCAATTATGTTATCTTATAAAGGGAAATTTTGTGATATACATATTTAAAAATGTTTTATTAACCATTTTTTAATTGTAAAATAATTAATACGTTTTATTTATTTTAATAGGCTTTGTGTAAAACTATGCCCAGTTAACAAATGCAATTAAAATAAAGAATACAAAATCGTAAAACATTATTAGGAATTGACATTCCACGCTAATGTTAAGTAATTTCTTTGACTAAATAATTTTTTTTACAGAAATCAAAAATTAAATTATTTGATAAATAATAAATTAGATGAATATTTCAGAAAATACAATAAAGTATTTTGGCATCTTTCAAGTTAATATTAATTTTGATGCGTATGAATAGTTGGAATCTGAGAGAGCAGTGAGCAGTCTTTTAAATAACTCACTATTTAAATAATTGAACCATTTTACGTAAGTTTAATTGACATAATATTTAATCAAATAAATATAAAAAACTTTAAGATGATCATTGCAATTATCAAGTCAAAAATTGTTTATAAAATATACAAAAATAACGTGTTTAAAAATAGAACTACTTTGCAATAAATATTTTCAAAAATAGAATATTTTCAATTTTTTGTTGATAAGATTTTGATAGTCTTAGATTTTTATATTATTGTTTGCACTTTTTCTCCAAATTTTTACATCAAATTAACCTCTAATTATTGTTTCCAGATGGACACAATAGAAGGTAATAATCACTAGACCAGTATTTAAAACTAGTTCTTGCACTGTACCCGAAACGTACTTTTTAGTTTTCTTGACTTTAAAATAACATAACTTTGATTTAAAGAAGGAAATTATGATATTACATGGTAGTTGCTTATTAGAAAAATTTAAAAATTAGTAGAAAAAAATTGAAGCAATTAAAGTGTTTTAACTATTTATTATCGACCAAAAATATTTGTAAAATAAATATTTGTGTTACAATTGACCGAATTGCATGCCTGTAAGTAATGTAAAATGAAAGCTTATAAAATTTATGATAACCTAATGAAACAGTCGTCACCACCTTTTTAAATTTTTCCAGACTGTGGCTACCATGTATTACAGTGCCATGTATAATCGATACACAAAATAAATATCCTATAGTGCTTATATTTTACCTTTTTCATAGTCGTCTTGAAAGGATGGATTCTGAAAACATTCAGGTTGTTCAGGATTGATTGACGTTAGGTTGGAGCTCGATTCTGACTGTCGAAAATCGACAACAGGCTCAAGGCGGCGCATTCCAAGAAGGCGAGCCATTTAGCCTTTTTAGCCAGGTATCTATCGATAAAGAATTAGTTTTAAATATAGTAATTTGTGTAAGTTCATGTTTTAAGAGAATACCATGAGACACAAAAACTTAGTGTTAATAATTATACAAACAGCACAGTTAATAAATACACAAACAGCAGTGTTAGTAATAACACAAAAAACACACTTTAAATAACTTTCAAGAATTTTCCTTAAATTTTGTACAACTCTTAAGTATTGAATGTAGCTATTTAAACTAAAAATAAAGCTTTATGGGGGGAAATATATGCTTGGTGCTCGAAAGCTTGTTAATCTATATCTAGCGTAGTTAAAGAATCACGATGTATGGGTACAATTTGTGGTTGGCTGGGAGCCAAAATATACCGAAAAGAAACGAAAGAAATATTCTCAAAACTATAGGTATCTCAAAAAATATAGGTAATTTTCTGGCTTTAAAAACTAATCTAGTAAAGAGTCTATAATATGCAAATATAATGCTGAATAACTAGATAACCAATTTCTTTTAAATAATTAGCTTTCAAAAATTTGATATCTCCATTTGGCTGCTGCTTGTTGGTATGTGTTAATGTATGTCAAATAAAAAGTTTTTCGATAAAATGATAGTTTTCTTGCCTGATATTCCTAGAACATTTTTCAAATGAACAAAAAATATTAAAGTAACGTAACATAAAATTCATATTCTTATATTATTAAACTAACTAATTATTCTAACAATAATCTACGCTACTTTGTGTGTGTGTGTGTGTTCGTGCGTGTGGGCGGTGTAATTAATAGAAAAAATTAAACTTAACTCTATTGTTAACCTGATTTTCAGGAAGGGTAAAGAAAGTTTTTCTCCTCTAACTTTTCTAATTGTGGTAGTCATCATCTTACTCTTTCGAACGATTTTAAAACTACTTCTAATCGTTCTTTAACTACGTTAGATACAGATAGTTTAATCTGGTCATTTTATTTCCCTTTCTATTCATAGAAAAATGATATATCTGAAATTTAAATTTTTGTAAGATGGTGAAAGCATCTTGGTAAAATGAATGTTGAATTTGCTTACATGTGCTACTAATATGTAAAAAGAGGAGCACGATTTCATTGTGCAAAGAATTTAAATTAAAGTTTAGAAATATGAATACAAAAATTCAGAGTTTCAATTTTCGTTAAGAAAAAAAGGAGGAAAAAGCGGAAAATTACCAATTCACACATTTATGGTCACAATATAGTAAAAATTATCTGGAAATAGTTTAGTTTATATTATAAAAATATCACAACATTCTCTTATTTTAATTTCGATAGCACTACAGAATCGTAATCTTGTTCTCTTATTATAACATTTCAAAAACTAAGTTTATCATTCATCAAATAAAGTTTTAAAACCATATCAAATCTGCTATGTTAAATTAAACATGTCCCACATTTTTGTTACTATGATTAAATTCAAATTAAATATTACTTGCTGTTTTTGTTACTATGAGTAACTTCAAATTAAATATCACTTCCTGTTTTTTGCTACTATGAGTAACTTCAAATTAAATATCACTCACATTTTCGTTACTATGAGTAAATTCAAATTAAATATCACTTACATTTTCGTTACTCTGAGTAAATCCAAATTAAATATCACTTACATTTTCGTTACTATGAGTAAATTTCAAATTAAATATCAGTTATATTTTCGTTACTATGAGTAAATTCAAATTAAATATCACTTGCTGTTTTTGTTACAACGAGTAAATTCAAATTAAATATCACTCACATCCTCATCACTATGAGAAAATTCAAATTAAATATCACTTACATTTTTCTTACTATGAGTAAATTCCTTTTTTTCGAACAGCAAAAACGTTTCATGCAAGTTCACAATTAAACTTTTGACTGCGAAACAGTAGATCGCATTTTATTTATGTTAAAAAGCAATATTTGTCATAAATATACGACATCAAACTACTTGGAAACTGATTACTTCAGGTCAAAATCTATTCTAAAGAAGGGTTAAAGTCTTATTCAGTTTTATCAGAATATAAGAATGCTATTCAGACTCATAAAACAAAATCAGCTGCAATTAGATCCTCTGAACAAACGAGATCATCGGCTCCACAAACGAGAAACTTCCACAGACAGAATTTTATGCTTCTTCAAAAAAGAAATATTAAGATATGCATAAAATTTCCAATGAATTGTATATGCAGGTGTTCTCACATCGATTTGATGATATTCGAGAAAAAAAAACACAATATAAGGTACTTAAAAATATTCATTCATTTTTGTTTGACAATAAATTTATTTAAAAATATTGATACACAGTTTTTTAATGGTTGTAAGAAACACAAGGTCGTAAAATTAGATATCAAAAAATGGGTTATTACATATTTTTATTGTATAAAACTTATCTCTTAACTTAGAAACTCTTCAAGAATTTATGATATTTTTCATTCTTCTCTTATTTTTATTTCTTATATTCATTGCATTTTATTCATAAAATAATGAACATTTTAAAAATAAATCGTATAAAAATAAATAATATTTTTGATTCAAGTTTAGAAAAAAAAGTGGCGAACAGACATTAAATTACGCTTTTGAATATCAATGTCTGTATTTTTTCATGAAAAGAAACAAAATAAGAACTTATATTTCACTAAGGGAATTCAGGTAAACATCATGGGTTTCAAGACCATAAAGTGCCCCCCAGAAACCATCTTTTCCTTTATTTTGAGTAAATTGTGGTTGGTTGTAAGGTTTATCAAAATTAGATGATACCGTTTACATTAGGCGCTGTATAGATGTTCTTTCCCAATTTAATGCTGCATTTAACTCCAATTAAATATAAGATTTTATAAATTTGCAGACTACTGTTAGTGAATGAAAGCAAATATTTGGATAAACTTTTCTATATGTTTCAGAATGTAGATCCTAGTGTAATTTATAAGAATGGAGTGTAGTTCAGATGCATGCATTAGGGGCAAAATTCTACTGAAAATTGTCGATATATTTGAAAAACAAACAAAAATTAACATTTTATGACATTTAAGTGCATAAAGGTATAAGTATAATAGCGAAACTTTTATTAAAAATTTAAGAATTAAAGTTTAAATATGAGAGTTTGTTTATAACTATTGCTAGAAAATTTTGTTGGCGTTATACGATTTCAATGAGCACAATTCGAACTTTTTTTTAAAAAAAAGATAGTATTCAAAATTCAAAGGGATGTAAGATAGGGACTTAGTCATGGTGGCTCAGGGGATAGAGCTCTCGCCTCCCAATGTGGTGAACCGGGTTCGGATCCCAGCGAGGGCTGGTCGGTACGAATTCCGCACCCATCTCGCACCGACCACAGTGTTGACGTAAAATATCCTCAGTGGTAGACGGTAGACGGATCATGCATTAGAGTCCTCTGGCCGTCAGACTAACTGTTGGAGGTTTTCGTGGTTTTCCCCTCCATGTTATGCGAAAGCTGGTTAGTTCCATCAAAAAGTTCTCCATGAAAACAAATTTCTCCCAATACTTGATTCAAAAGTTCCCTTGTCTTCTAGTTTGGGTTCAAAATTACAAAGCTACGGAGTTGAACATTAATAGTCGTAAACTCAAAGCTTGGACGGCTGTTCAAAGACTTATAAAATAAAATAAATATGTGATAGATTGTACATTTTACCTCATAAATTGAAGTAAATTTTACCTCATAAATCGAAGTATGGTTGTAGTTAATTTATGTAATTTTAGTGTACATTTACGGCTTATACAATTAAGCTTATTAGCATTATACAATTCTAAAAAGATTATAAAGATTAAAGTTTAATAAAATTTATAAAATTTTACTTCAGCTCGAAGTCATAATTTAAAATGCGCAAAAAATCTTTTCATATGCCTTTCATTCATAATTAACTATACATTCGTAATGAACTTATTTTTTTCAATAATAAGTTTCTTCACGCATTTTTTATGGTTTTCCATTTTTTTTTAAAAGAAAGTTATTTATCTAGGTAGTATATATTTGTTCTATTTTAGTCTATCGCGTACATTATCTATTTTTATCCATATACATTATTAATAAAAAGAAACCAATTTTTCTCGTTAATTATGTCAAGTTTAGGAAATAACGAAGTTTTGAAAGTTTAAAAAAAATTTAATTTTCGGAGGGGTGGTCCCACGATGATAGCCAGGATTGCGAAAAATTACCGGTGGAAGGTCAATTAATTTTTATGCCTACTATTTTTTAAACTTTTCAAAGCATATGTCCCCTTTCCCGTTTTCTAAACCCATCACAGGACTCATGCTAGATTATTCATACTAAAAAAAAAGAGCTTCAGAGAAAGGTTAGAAAAAATGTACGAAATATTTAAAGATGTCACCCAACTTGACCAGAAAAAAGCATTAATAATTTAACTGTGGACTTTGAAATAATTAGGAAACACAGTGTCAGTCCGCGAAGAATGTCAACAATGCAAGCAAAGGAATGACTTAAGAATTTCGGGATTTCGGAAGAGGGCACTAAATTAAGTTGTTATACTTGGAGTTTTGCAAATCGCCCAATAAAGATTATTTTAATAATAATTAACTGTGGGTTTAATGAACTTATTTAGAGGCGATATTTTACTTTAGCAATTCAGAGTTTGTTCATTATATTTAGAATAAGACACGTGAATTTTGTAGAGAAAGATATATTCATGAAAAAATAATTATCTTAACTCTAAAAAAAAATTTCCGCAAGTGATTCATTTTGTATACTTCGTCTGTGATAAATGAGACATTTTCCTATATTTTATAATGATTATAATGAGTAACTTTCAAAAAAATAGGAGAGATTAAGTTTTTCAGTTTTGCAAGATCGCAACAATCAAACACACAAGATTACAAATCAAATCAATTACAAAAATTTTCTACCACTATTTGGAACAAAAAAAATAGAAGGTTTAAACTTTCTTTAAGAAAGCATTTTGATGGTCTAAAGAAAATAGATTTCCACTAGAAAAAAATGGAATGTTTTGGAAATGAAGTAAGACTAATACAATAAAATCTGTAAG